AGGAATGTGTCTCCTGAGGCCATTTACCTGGTACGTGTGGCTGTACCGACCACGAGTGGGCTGTCATTTCTGGGCCCTGGTCACCAGCTGCAGGTGCAAGTCTCAGAGTGGTTGGGGTGAAGCACCTAGAAGGTACAGCTCAGATGCCGAGGGGAGTCCTTGTTCAACACCCCTGGGCCAGTGTGCGTGTGTCTTGTATTCCTGGGTGTGTGCGTCCACATGTCTGCAGGGTAAGCACAGGGGCCACGAATCTGTGGGTGTGTGTGTGCCCGGGCTCCCGTGTGTGTCATGGAGGTGTCCCTGTCCGTGAGTGTGAACATACTGTGGGTGCGTGTGGCCATTTGTCTGTGCACATGCACGTGAGTGTCAGACGGTGCCCGTGCTGGGGGCCTGGCTGAGTCAGCGTCAGGGCTGGGTGGCAGCACTGGCAGCCAGGCTGTGGCTGCCCCACAGTTGCGTAAACGCTGGCCTTGGCTCCCCCTCAAGCAGGGTGGTCCAGCCTGTGCCCTGCAGCCAGTGGAGAGTGATGGAGAGGTGGGGTGTGCTCTCCCACCAGCTTGGTCCCCTCTGGGCCTCCGGTGTCAGGTCACACGCCCCCCAGGCCTGCACTTGCCCCACCTCTCCTCTCTCAGCTGGCCCGAGGCCCGATATCTGAGGTCTCTCGAACTTCTCCAATCCTGGCTCAGGTTGAACCAGAGGGTCAGCACGGTACGCCAAGGGCAGAATTCAGCCCTGGGACTCCAGAGGGGCCAGGCAGATCCCGGAGGTCTCAGGACCCCACCAGGAAGGTCAGTGACATTTCGCAGGACCCTTGAGACTCTGAGACTCGCTGTTAGGGCAGAGGGTTGGGGTCTGAAACTTGAGCCCAAAGCACAGCGAATTATGGGAGCCGGGTCCTCAATGACCTGGATCAATGATCCATCTAGTACTCCAATGTCCCTGCATTGCCACCGTGACCCTGGTCAGCCTGCCACATCTACCATCTTGTACGCGTCTTCCAGACACCATCCCTGGGGACCCTCAGGTCACCGCTGAGACATAGATTAGACATGGAGTACGGGGCCGGGAAAGCCAGAAATGAAGGCCGAGGCAGATGGAAATTAGACAGGGCCTTTCAGTGGTCAGGCACGGGGTTGCATTCCACCAGGCCACAAGAAGGGGAGAAATCAGGCTGCGGGCATGAGAGCTCGGACGAAAGGCTCAGAGCACTTGGGCGGGGGGACCTATGAGAAGCTAATGGAGACCTTGGGGAGAAATAGGAGGGTGGAGTACGGGTTCAGACAAAGGCAGTATGAAGTGGGGGGACAGGGCAATGGCATGACAGGTCATAAAGGGGTGCTTGGGGTGCCAAGCTGCAGTACTTCATTGTCAGTCCCTGCCTTGCGGGGTAGTGAGGTTGTGGGCTCAACCCCACCAGGACGTGCTGACCCGGACACCTCTGAAACAGCAGGAAACCCAGGCCTCAAACTCAGTGCCCCATTGCAGAAGTGGTCCCCTGGGGTCCTTTCCCAAGTCCTTTGCAAGCAGCCCCAGCCCGCCCTCGCCTAAGTTTGGGGGTTATTTGTTCCCCTCCCTCCCAAGCCACACAATGCTGGTTTGCCCAAATGCTGACAGAGCACAGCTGGAATGCGGAGTGTGTGTGAGTGTGCGCATGCCACTCCCCCGGCCGCCCGCCCAGTGCCTCCCCCCACCCCAGCCTCAGCAGCCAGGGCCCAGGGCTCTTGGCCAGAGAAGGGTCTAGACGGGTAGAGCTGGTAGGGCCTCTGTCCCCATTCCACAGCCTGGCAGAGGATGCCTGAGTACCCACCATTCTCGGTCGATCTCCACCGCCCCCTCTGTCTATTGGCCCCGGCAGTCCACACCCACCGAGGCCTTGGTGGGACTGGGTGCGGACACTTTCTGGAGGGCTCGTAGGGGTGGGATGGGGTGGCTGGAGGACTCTGAGATGCCAGCGTTAGGAAGATGGTGCTCCCTGGAAAAGCTCAGGTCTACGCTACCTTCCTGATTTTGGTACGTGGTCAGCTGAGCACGAGCACCCCCTTCCCCACTACCCCCGTGCCTTGTTCCAGACCCTGGGTACTTCTGCCATCTCACCCACTTGACCTCTGTCCTTCCCTCCCATGGTAGGCGCGGGGACACTTTCAGGTGCGATAGAATGATAGTGCCAGCTGCTGAGCAGGCCCAGTTAGGCAGCGAGCACCTTGTCACCAGGCGTGTGCGAGCAGAGAACCACCTCGGCCAGAAGGCGGCAGAAGGGGTTCTTGCCCTGGTGGGGAGGAGGCCAGAAGCGCTGGGCATTCCCAAGTCCCAAAGCCTGACTTACCAGAACACCCAGGAATGTTTTCATGAGAGAAAGTAAGTCCCGTGTTGTTTCTCATGAAGCGCAATTTGGCATCTCCGATGACCTTCTTCTTTCAAGACTGCATCCTGCTGGGGTTTTTG